TTTCGTAGTGGAACGAAAGTCGGCTTATACATAAATCGCTTAGAGTCGATATTGGCCTGAGTGCGCTCTGGTCTGTAGATCAAACAAGTTCTCTGCCGACGATTAGTCTCTCTTATTACAGAGAGTATTTCACATCCATAAAAATTCTGTTTAATGACATTCTCAAAACATGCAAAAATAAAAATCGTCCCATTTTCTTGACCAATAACATCTTCAAGTGCAATATTTTTTTGCCAAAATAACTTGAATTTTTCTAGGTGACGTCATCGATACTATTGCTGAGTGCTATAACAAGTTATCAATTTATTTGAGGGCACTAAAATTAAATTTGCCGACAACATTTTTTCTACAACTGCATTTTAACAGAGAATAAGTTCGTAGAATTGTCGTTAGTCCAGCTGCGCCTGTTCATTGTGGTTTGTCACATGAAATCTGGATTCCGTTTATTAAATTAAACACTTAGCCTTCAACAAATTGTCTCATTTCAGACAATTTATTTAGAAATAAGTACTGAAAAAAAAATAGAAACAAAATCTGAGACGCGCAAAATCCCTTAAATCAAGCTATGTTAGTCACATATTTATAGATTAATTTTTGATTGATGTTCCAACAAATGTTGTGTCAAAAATAAGAAAACTGCCAGATATTATAGGTATGCGTAAAATGTACGAAAAAAACAAATTCTTTTTGTTGAATTGGAAGAATTATAGCACGAAACAAATTACCACTATACTTTTATTGCAAAAAAAAATCATAATGAATCATCGACAGGTGAATAACATTAGTGATATATAATTTAAAACTAACAACGTTTTTTTGAAGACAATTTTGTGAAGTTTAGTATAATTTTCCTTGATTCTGACCAGTTGCGAATGATGCATGATGTGCCATAATTTGGTCAGTTTGTTCACTTAACTTTTACTAAACTCTATTAAATCTGTAAAAAATATTCAGGATTTGTTTATTTATTTAACAATATATAATTTGTCTTGATTTTGTAAAAATTGTCTGAACTATCGAACTATTGTTATTCTGTTGATGCAAGACATTAGTGTTGTTTATTTCTGTAACTTAGGTCGACTTTGTTTCCTTATTAGTAGATGCATATACACATACTAAAAGGTTCTTTAAATGACTTTGTTGATTTATCTATTTTTTAATAATATTAATTACATTATTACATCACGTAATTTTTCAATTTAAAAAGTAAAATGTCTTTGTCTAAAAAAAAGCGAATTATTACGTCATTGGTTAGTAAGATTTAAAAATAGTGTACAGTCGCAGATCTCTCATTTAGATTTTTTCGAAACTGTTGTCACAAAATTTTGTATTATTGTTATTTTATTCAAAAAAGTTTGTATAGTTTCAGGAAACTTCTTCATCTAGTGGTTCTAGTACCTTTATTTTTATATAGGTATTAATTTAACAAGTGTGTTTATAAAATTGACTTTATAGTCAACTGGTTCATTTTTCTTAGAACTGTTTTAAAAATAATCAGTCGAATTATGGCAAACATAAAATGGTGGAAACAGTGTGTGGACAAATAAACAACTTTTGGTCAACAGTACCTCATTGAAAAACACTGCTGAACACATGCAATCTTCACGAAAGAATGTAGCGTCTGAAGGTGACTTGTCCCCGTCACTTGAAAAAGTCAAATAAAAATGTTCACCCATAAGACGGGGCGATAAAGCGAATCGACAGTTGTTATTGGTTAAATCTCGGTTTTTATCCTTCAAAATTACAATCCGGCAGCGTTATAAAACTAACTGCTCCACATCAAGAATCCCAACATGTTTATCGAACGATATGCTAATATCGAAAGACACATCGCCTACCTACTTCCAAACAAATAAGGAGAGCGCGCGAAAGAGCAGCACTTCTCTTTTTCAACCCGAACAGTGTAAATTGTAGAATGTCCAATAGCTCGGGACATTATTTATGTCCGCTTATTACAATCCACATATTCAACCATGCACGACAACGTTTGCTTTCAATACAGCAACGCAAAAATGACCGGCCAGATTATTTAGATTTTCAACTTAGATAAACGGAAATGCGTAAATTCAGCCGTTGGATTAGTCCAGAAGTGGCTTGCATTCAGTTCCTGAAACGAGATCCCATGACAACGCCTGATTTTTATCAATCTGTTTACCAAATCAAAAAAGCTATAAAAATCTATCTATTCTCACTGGCAAAGCAAATGGAGCGAACAATTACGTATTGTCGTTGTGCACAACGATACTCTGTGGGCCGTTTTATTGTTGCAACAACCATACTCCAATTTTTCCACTGATTTCAATTAAACGGGTGGGAGATCATCAAATTTTATTACTATCTTAGGCCTCATTTTTGAGCATTTCGTTTGACTGAGCCACGACGTTTCCCGACGACGCTTTTTCTATTAAAATAAATAAATTAGTTTTTGTCTTTGCGTCGTCAAATAAATGATGCGGTAAATTGTTAAACGGAGAAGACCTGTTTACGCTGATGGAACAATCGACTTCTTAGTTTATTGTCAATCAACTTGATAATGCAATTGTGACTAATCTCGGCTCGATTGGTTAGGGCAGGACTGCAAATATTTTAACTGCGTTTTTGGCGTGACCAAGAAAATTGCAAATACACGGACCAACAGGTGATTTATTCCAAGAGGGTAAGACGCGGATCGAATTTATCTAATTGTTGATTAATTGTTTATTATTTGCGTTAAATTAATGTAAATGTGTTAAATTCAATTGGATTGAATTAATTCAACAACAAATCAAAATACGTCAACGTTAATTAGGCGTTAATCCCTGCAGATCAAACAAATAATTATTTTGTTGATAGTGACCACGAACTTTTCTAAGCATTTGTAAGAAAGCTGTTACGGCATTGAATCGTTTCAGATTGTGTAGATCTGCCCTTGGATTACTTTGGATTTTTTGGAAATAAAATAAATTTTCTAAAAATCCCCGAGGAACAAATATTGGAGTCCCTGTCTATATTTTCATTGTAAGTACGTACAATAAAATGAAAATTAGGGAGTGAACGGACTCAGAACATAGAGATAAAAAATTAACAAAACAGACATCAATTTTTTGCAAAAATTATGTAAAGGAAAAACTCATTTGAAATATACGCGTAGCACGCTTCTTTACATTTACTTTAACATTACAAACATATATTTATTTTAATTTACATAGGTGATTTCAAAATTAGCAAAATCTAATTTTATAATTTTTCGAAAAAGCTGAACATGTTTCATTGTACTTCAGAGGTGAGCGAAGTAATCCGACCAATTTTTTAATACACATATACCTCTTGGAAATATTTTTTTGCAACGAAATACGAGTTATAGGTAAATATTTGACAATACATAGAAATTTTACAATACGTACCTGTTCCGGGATTTTACCTGCTCCTGGTACGTCAGTATCATTTAGGGTCGATTGATACATTTATTTCTGTCTTTAACTTTACAAGTTAATAAAATGTCACTAGATCCACAAATAACGTTCTGACGTTGCAAGCTTATTCGGACCGTCATTTTTAACGTTATAGTCTAGTTGTTTACTTTTGTCAAATTTTATAAATCAAAGAAGTACTACTTGTTTTTTTTAATTCGAATTTTTCGGAAGGCATTCACGCGGATTCCAATCTAGGAACGAGTTGAAAATGTAACTGCATAAATGAAATGACAGAACAAATTAATCAAAATAATAAAAAAGTACAAAAACAGGTTGAATATATGGGTAATTTTTAACACCGATTTTAAGAATTTTTGGCTACCGCTTTCTGAATTATTATCTATGAAAAACACAAATAAATCGTGCAAGTTACACAAGTGTATATAATTTAATGTAATTTGTAAAACTCATCATGTATTACTTGTGTTTTTCTGTAGGTCATCTTTTGACCGTTGCACTATAAATGAGGCATTATTAAACTTCCTTTAATGGTCAGGAAAATTTTCCATGCATTTCTTTTTTCTCTTCGCTTGTATGACAAAACGTGAACAAATGACCTGACGAAATAATACATCAAACTTTAAAGATTGTGAAAATAGAAAGCTGTTGTGGTAGTTGTTCTAAAAATGTCTCCGATTTGTGATATATCAAGCCGGTCAAAGAAAAATTTCGTTTTTCGTTTGAAATGATTAATCACTTACAAGGTTGTAAGTGTTAGAAAAGGAAAAAAATGTCACCTTACTTCAAGTTTCACCTTTCAATAATTTCATAAAATATTCAGAACGTTTTTTGTGAAAAATATTACACATTATTCCACACCTTTTTCTAACGGGACGCTTTTGAGATTTCAGACTTCCAACATTATGAATAGCGTTATGGGTCATGTCATTTCAAATTAAAAGAATTGTTATTTTTTTCCTCTTAATAAATCATACTCAACAACATTGTGTATAAATCAAACCGGCCGTAACTCCATTTCTTCGCAATGTACCGCCTTAAGTGAAGAAACTGTAACATTCCTACGTGTTTCTTACCGATATTTAATCTCGAATTTCGAATGATTTGTTCTAATAGTGCGTACTATTTCGGAGAAAGTCGAAATGGAGTGAAAAATGGTATCGGTCAGAGTGTAGGTTTCCACTTACCTTAGGATGCACGAAAAATAATTGGCTAATCACGAGTGCTAAGCAATAAATAATCGTCTGCGATGAGGTACCAGTGTATTTTCTGCAGAGGTTGACAGGAGGAATAAATAAGAAAGTAAATCAAGAGCAAGCCACCATTGACAAAGGCGAGCTTCCCACACAGCTTAAAGCCCAAATGACTGGAACATAAAAGAGACTGTTTAGGAAACTTGCCTTAATGCAATGAGATGAAGGCTTGGCCAAGGTGGGGCACGCGTTCGGTATATCGTGACGTCACTCGCGTGGCGCAGAAGAAGATGCCCACCTAATAAGCCTCGATCTGGACATGGTCGCAGCGTTCGTTGACTTCGGGATGAGATGGGCAAAAGGTGAATCGAAACACGTCGTTTAATTTAATCAGCAGTTTATATTTGTCTGATCAAGTGAGATTTCATAGAGCTGAGCACAACCACTTATGAATATAATACATCGACTTGAACAGTTTTTTCTTATAATGCGTATAACAACTGAAGTTCTTTTTGACAACATGTACAAATAAATAGGGGATGTTTGTGTGATAATAATTTACAATATCCATGTATTCAAATATCACATTCACAATACAACAGCCTCATGAGTCGAATAAGAATTTCTTAAACAGCTTTTGATAAAGGTAACATCTAATATTCGGGATATAAAAATAGATATAGTCATCAAAGTGCAATGGAAGGGAGTAATCAAAATCGCGCCCTCGGGCACATGCAACAACAATTATGACAACAGCCGGGTTCAACAATTTTTTCTTTAAAAGATCAATCAAATGTTTCAATAGTATGTACAAAGAGTTAACGTTATTTCTGATAGTCGCTATTTACAAATTTTTTAATATATACATCCGCATGGTATATAATTATAATAGTAAATAGTTGAATGAAATTAGGCCTATGGTATTTGTACGCTTGTTTTTTAGAGTGGACAGCACCACCAACTAACATAGATATTCTTGATGCGGGGTGTGATACTATTAAAGGGTAGAAGGACAGTCGTAAACTCTCATGGCATCTACTAGAGTGCACTTTAGGTGTGCTCAACGGAGAGAACTGCGCCGGACTTGCATCCGTCGCAACACTCTCGACTGTGGTAACCAGTGTTGGGAACAAATCGAAATTTACGCGGTCTGACTCTGAGCTAGTCGAAACGAAACTACACAACATAAAAATTGACGAAAATGATCTAAGTTTCTGCGTGTGAGAGGTTCAATTAACGGAAAAAAAAATCAAGGAAAATTAAAAGACAAAACGAAATCCCAACACTGCTGGTAACTATGGTTTGCTGAACAACTTATGGCCTCGCATAATCGACTGGATTTTGTTTTGCTAATCTTACATGTTAGTTGCTCAAGACACTTCGTTAAGGCATTCTCGATAAGACAGCTTCTCTCTTATAAACACGATTACAAGAAAAGTTCGTCAATCGGTCCTGAAATTTCCTGTTCAGAGTGTGCGTTTGGAGACTTGTATTGACTTTGAATTGGACTATTGACAACTTTTGTTGCATTAACAAAAAAAAAATTACAACTTAAGCGATCAACAATTTTGTTCTCATATATATCATCTATAATAATATAAAAAGAAAAAAAAAAACACTAGTACGGAATGTATAAAAAGTTTTAAAATGTGTTATTTGGCAACAAGTTTAAAACAGTTATAATAATACCTATTAATTATTAATTAAAGCCATTTTTTTGTTATCTTGTCTCTAATGTTAAGAACTATTTAAATCAGGTGTCTCGGACACAATAAAATATAGATACATCAACAAATCGAAACATTTACAAAAATAGGATCTGATATCAAACAACCAGTGCAAAAATCAGTCTGGCAGCGTATAGAACTGGCTCGAGTTGCCGGTTTAGCATGTATTAAAAAAACATACATACATACACTGACACTTTGTTCCTTGAGGTCCACGAGAATAAATATAAATCGACACAAATGGCACACACGTAGACGGGCCAGTGGCGTAACCAGGGAGGGACCCAGCAAGCTAATTTGCCTTCACATCATACTGTGGTCTGCCGACGCCGTCGCGCGTCGGCGAGCGCACGATCCGTCGGGGTCCAAAATGCGTTCGATGGTCGATGTATTTAATTTATTAAAAAAATCTTATAAATTTCGATCGTCGTCGTCGGCGTGCGCCTGCGATCGCCGCGCTTCGGCCTCTGCAAAAATATGAGCGTCAATTTACCGTGTGCCGGGTCCCTTGCAAACCGTCCTCTAGTTACGCCATTGAGACGGGCGCAGGGCCAACGGAGGAGATCATGGGTTCAGGTCGCGCGTAGTGCGTTTTCTTTCATTCAATTCGCACGTAGATGAGCCGAGCGGAGTCGGTGCCGAGATCACAGTCGTCGCGTATGAAGAGAACACATTCGCCGGCAGATAGCTCGGCGGTGGGCAATTCTCACAGAGTCGTCGTCACCACCGGCAAGGATAGACTGTCCTCGCTGGTGACCGTGTGACTTGCGTGCATGTGGTGCTGCTGATGGGGGTGCAGGTGGTGGTGCTGTTGCTGCGGCGGCTGGTTCGCCCCCTGCTGCTGCTGCTGCTGGCCCATCTTGCTCTCCTTCTTCATTCGCTGCTTCAGGTGCACCTTGGCGTGGCGCTTCTTCTCGTCGCTCCGCGCGAACTTGCGTCCGCAGACGTCGCACGAAAAGGGCTTCTCCCCCGTGTGCGTGCGGATATGCGTCGTGAGGTGGTCCGACCGGGAGAAGGATCTCATGCAGATCCGGCACTGGAACGGCTTCTGGCCCGTGTGGATGCGAATGTGGCGGGTGAGCTCGTCCGACCGGGAGAACCTCCTGTCGCAGTTCTCCACGGGGCAGGCGTACGGCCGCTCGTGCACCGGCGTCTTGCTCGGCCGATTCGGGTACTTCCGCGGCTTCACCGGGACAAGCTTCAGCGGGATGGGTGACTGCTGATATACCTGCGAGAGGATCTCGTGCCCCTTGCTCGTCGAGGGGTTGTACTCGGCCAGCTGCACACCGTACGCAGAGTTCGACGTCTGCTGTCCGATCTCACTCGAGCACCCCGCACTGAACGGTTCCTGCTTCGGCACCAGGTTCGACGCGCCCGGCACCACTAACGCACTAGAGCTTTGCGGACTGCCGTAGTCCTGCGAGTCCCATTGGTACTTGGCCGTGCTGGCCACGAGCGGCTGGCCGACGCGCGAGTACACCAAGTCCTGCTGCTGCAGCTCGAGCTGCAGGCTCGTCGACGTCGCCGAACAGCTGGGGTACGACGGGGGCTGTTTCAGGCTTCCGCAGTCCATGCTCAGCATGAGCTGCTCGGCCTGCGACCGGTCGTCGTACTGCGTCCCGGCGGGGCTCGGCGTCGCCGAGGGGTACTGCTGCTGCGGGGACTGCGAGCTGCCCTGTCCCAGCAGCCCAAACATCGCCGGGTAGATGGGCTTATCGCCGCTCGACAGCAGCCACGGGTTCACGGCTGACGGCGAATGGGCCATGCCCTGCGAGCTCATGCCCAAAGGGCTTCCGGCAGGCTGCATCTGGATGTTGCCCGACATGCCCGGGCTCGACGCCGACGTGTAAACGCTCCGGTGGTGCATTTTACCCATGCTGCTCGCGTGCGACGTACCCGTCGCCGGATACATGCTAAGGGTGCTGTGATTCGTGTTTTCCTCTTCGCGAAGGCTGGGACTCAACGCGCTATCTTGAGGGGTCCCTCGCTCCCCGATATGGCTGCTCGACGGCGATTGGTGCGGACTGACGGAGTGCTGCTGGGGTTGTTGTTGGGGTGCTTGCTGCTGCTGCTGTTGCTGCTGCTGGTCCAAGGTGAGCTCCTCCGGGTCTAGGGAGCCTGCAAACAATGCACAAGTTAGGGTCGTGCTCGATCGGAGACGAATGCAGAGTTGCAGGTCTGCAGCAGCTGACAAAGTGCCGACGTAGACGCATTTCATTCATGCAAGTGGAAAAGGTGGTTTACGAGCTGTACACGTGCGACATCGGTACTCGAAAGTGGTACTCGACTCAACAATCGACAATTTTATTTTATTCGTACGGTAACATAGATTTAATTAGGACTGACGAAGAGATCTTGTACATAATAGGTTCATATTCGCTTTCGATATTTTTCGTTTGTTTGTTTTAAATTTTACTTAAATCTTTGTTTACGTTTTAATTGGCGTTTTCTGTTACCTGTCTGCGTCGATATTCGATCGTGAAAAGAAAATCATGTTTTCGTTTTGGTGCGTTCGGATGAGCATGTGAGCATCATATTCGTGGTTCGCTTTCGACGGTCTCGGATAATAATAACACTATAAAGCGAGTTGCGAGGTTGGACCGTTCGTTGGATTTGTTGATTTCGGTAGCAACAGTGTGTAGGAAAGAAAGAGTAAAATAAAAAATAAAATAAAATAAAATCGTATCGTTTGTATGTGATGATTTTCGGATGCATATAAAAGTTCGGTGGTTGCCGTCGCCGCCGTCGAGAGATAAGATAATGCGGGGTTCAATATGTTGCGATCAATAACGTGTAGTAAAAGGAGATGAATGGGAGATATGTTTGAATGGCCCGTGATATTGATCGAGGGTGGTATCATCGCGGCGGCGGTTCGGCGAGGTCGGGCGAGTCCAAAAAGCATCATCGTCGTCGGTCGGAGGAGCACTTGTTGCCTCATGGCGACGGTGTCGAGTTTGGCGATCGGAATCGTTTCGGTATCGTGTACTAGGTATAGTGAGATTATGTGTCAAAGTCTTGTGCTGGATCGATTCGATATAGACATAACACGGTGACGCAACGGCTATTATTATACTATACGGTGGCGCGGAGGAGAGTGTGTTCGTGCAGGCGAGGCTCTGGTCTGGTCGTGGCACCAGGTCCGGCACGCACGTAAATATAGCCCGTGGTGCACCTGTGTGGACTCACCTGTGATCGGCGGCGGCTCGACGACGGTGGAGGGCCCGAAGAAGGAGGGAATGTCGCCCGAGGTGGTGACGGGCGTGTTGAGGTCGCCCGGCTGCGCCTCTGGGGCGGGCGGCTCGTCGGCGGCGGTGCAGGCGGCTGCGGGCGCGGGGCTGCCGCCGGAGTCGACCGTGGTGGCGACGCTCTTGTAGAGGCACGTGTCGAAGCTGAGCACGTTGAAGTGGTGCGCCGCGGCCGCCGCGGCCGCCGACTCGGTGAGCAGGAAGGCGGAGTGGTGATGGTGATGGTGATGGTGCTGTGCGGGCAGCGTGTCCAGGCCGTCCATGATCATGGTGGCCGACGGGTTGGGGAGACTCGCCGCCGCTGGCCCGCCTACCACAGAACAAGGGCTTGTAGCGCCGGCACGCACTACACTGGCGTCCTCGTCACCACTCGTGTCGAGGGTGGGCCGGTGACAAGACGCCCGACGGGGTCGTTCTCGGTCAAGGATACTCGTCGATCTGCGCACGACCTCCTCGCACGAGAGCTTCTCAGAAACTGGTCGCGGCGCGAGCGCTACTTTACTTTTATGAATGGAGTATCTGTTCCATATTTGGAAGTCGCAAACAAGGGGCGAGCCAATGGGAGCGCGCGACCCCTCCACCGGCCCCCCACCGCCGGCGAACGTAACGTGACGTCGCGATGACGTAACACGGCGCTTACCGTTCGACTTGTGTTACACCTTTACACAATACCGAAACCCTAGCGATCGATCAAAAACCCTTCGACCCGAAAATGTGCAAATCGACCCGGAATTATGGCGGCCGACTAAATTTAGCGACGTACGGCAAAATAATAACACGATACTATTTTTGAAAAACATCTGTTGCCGCTATTTAAAAATAACAACGGCTCATACGAATCACGAACCAAAATAAAATCAGCTGGCAAAAGACGGGGGCTGACTAAGGCGTCGTGACGTTTACATTACATAATTACGACAACTAGAAACCGAACAACAACACCATCATGACAGCAGGAAATTTTCACAAGGGTTAAGGGCGAGCTCCCTCCTCCGTGACGTCAGTTCATTCATGAATCCGCTCCCCTCCGGCCGGCATGGCGACGCTCCCTGCAACAATCCCCACTATTGTTACCCCAACCATCCCTACCTGAAAATTCATTGAATAATGCCAACATCTCCCCGCAATTTATTCATAAATACGTCCCTTCCTTCCTGCCATCAATGAAAGTGATACATCAAACAATTTTACAGCGAAAAATCAATACTACCAAAATGGACGCGCGCCTCTTCTCCACACGACGCCGAACCGCATGGATCGAAGACGCTTTTCATTAACATTGTACAGAAGAAAAAAAAACTTTCCCTTTATACTTTACAACACTTCGGTTTCTCGTACTTCTTTTCTCATTTTTACTCCTTAAACAATACTCGTGTGTGTTGTACATCGTTGACCATCTGGAGCTTCCCACCTCGTCTACGAGGGTGTTTATATAATTCAAATTATCGATACACGACGAACGATCGAAAGATAATCACCCGATTTTCGATTTATTATTACGTGAGGTGTCTCTGTGGTATAACATGGAATAAAATGGGGGCGAAAAACATCGTAATCAGTTTCTATCACATCATTACATATTGTTCTTTTTGAATAACTGCTTGTAAATTTGAAAATTAGTTGCACGCCATTAAAAATTCGAATTTTTATAGTGTGATTTTAAATAGGTATACTGAGGTATTTAAGAAGCTTAGATTGTCTATCTATCGTAGAACTTGACACAACGAAAATTTTTAACAAATACAAGAATGAGAAGAAAAAAATGGAAACGAACAGAAAAAAATTGAACTACGGCGTATCTTAATTTGAATTTTTAAGAGAAAATTGGAAAGTATTGGCGCGAATTTTGTTTGAAAATCCTAATCTATTCGTTTTTTTCTTCCACAATCGAACGACCCTCAGCGAGTAGTATAACTTTTTATTTATTATTCTAGGATTTGAAAAGAACTGGAATATTTCTATTTTCAGCGAAGTTTGAAAAAGTATCTCACTTATTTTTATAGACTCTCTTCTGGATCTCCATTGTGTATAAGAAAATGGCGCATATTATGTACATATATGGGCTCCTGCGTTGCTCTGAGCCTGGACTAGAGGCTCAATTGATTTTGTACTCTTTCGGTCTAAAAAAAATATTCATAAACAACACATACCTAATGATGCGAGTTATTTTAAACCTTACTTTTATTATTTTATAAGTCTGCAGATACCTAAAATTTTATAAGATGTAATTCCTGTTTTTCTGGTACAGAATTTACACTATATGCACATACATGACTGAGGTGTTTTTTTTATTTTCACATTACTGAGTGGAGTATGCACGAACATCCAATATACCAAATAAACAATAACCCGCATACATTTAATTAAACTTTTTTGGATCTTTGCATTAAATTTTCAGAATATTTACGTTTTTTAACGAGTTGACAGACAGTTGTTGAACATGGAAAAATTGTAGCAGGTAATTACATGCATAAATTTCTGTAATTTCCAGTAGCGTGTTAGAACAATTCGGTTCATATTATCGTATCTAATTGTGAAAAATGTGTTATAAATACGGACGTACTTTTACCCACATGTGTTTAATTAGGTATGTAGTATTTTAATACATGATTAAAAATTGGTATATCTACAATAAAATTCAAAATTTAGAGGGATTTGGATTTGCTACGTTTTGAAACGAGATTTTCAATTTTCCAGAATAAAAAAAAATATTCTTGTTACATGTTGCTGTAAGTCACATTTTAATTAAAATAAGAAAAGTGGTCTACGCGAAATAAAAAAAAAAGTGAACAAATATATTGCTATTACTCAAAAAGTTGCCGAAATTAGAAATAATTTAGGTAGGTACATAGATATACTTTATCAACTTCGTCTGTGTATTAAATAAAAGACTATTTTTGTGTTTTCATCAATTCTTTCGAAAGTTCTGTGGTAAGTTGGTGTAGGTATGTATATCTTTATAAATCTTTGATGTAGAGTGGATCAAAACGTCAGTTTATCTTGGTGGGGTTCATGAAGAGCAAGGCCCCTTTTCGACCCAATAATTTGGGCATCATCATTGTGAAGATAAGTATAGGTTGATGATTTGACTGTTGGCGATGTCAAAAAACCGTTAAAAAGCGGAAAACACGAGGAAGAGCCTTGCAAGGCTGTCGAAATCATGAATAAGAAGATGAGGAAAGGCAACGGAACCGTCGGCAAAATTTTGACGTGACGTCGAAACAAGCGTTGGCGTATTTAAACGAGTGGGCTTTAAGTATATGTGGTATAAAACTGAATATGTATACGTATATAACACAATGTTATTATGTAAGTAACGCCAAAAAAGGGGATATTCAAATAACCAATAATTACGGCAATAACGTAGGAGTTGCTGGAAATGTATATGCATAGGATATGATTAATTCGAGTAACTTAATGAATCCTGTTACCATTTAGATGGATAAAATGGTGCTTAGAAAATTTTAAATTATTGGTATTGTCTCATGGTATGACCGGTTAGTTCCGGGACCGAATCGATAGTTATTAATTTATTCTTTGTGCTTGTCGCTGGGCTAATCGCGTGTCATGGTATACATTTTCAGTTCCTACACCAATAAATCAAAGTTGTGTAATTGAACGCCATGCATTAATAACTCAAATTATCTTGTACAATAAGTGCACACTTTCTATGTTAATGCCTAGCGATTATCTAAATGGAACAAGACGAATGAAATTTGACACATTAGCAAGAAAATAATGATAATTGCATACGCGAAGAACCAACAAACGCCGTTTCGCTGCGGTTTAATTCGCGTTTTATGGCAGATGATAATAACTTAAATTAATAGGTGTTAATACTTTATAGATGTTTATGTTTACTGAAATTTTTCATTCATCGCGCGCTACACATGAAAGAAATATGACGAGAATGTGTCGTAACTGGCAAGAAATAACCCCGGAATTAAACAACGTTAAAACAATAAGAAAATTACATTACACTACAATTTTAATTTTTTTTTTTTAAGAATTCCCAACAACATAGAAAATATAAAATCCGCTGCGGCACGAATAACTTGAGGAAAAAAGTTGTTTGTAAATGTGTGCATTTGTCAGTCGTGTGAATGACTTAAAAGATACATATATTTTAAAGTCGTACGCTGAATTTATGAATAATTTTGCAAGTCCTCCTTGATTGGTGCATCGGCGAGTCTCGTCGGCCGAGCAGGTAGTTCCCAAGTCGCCATTTTTAAATTGTATTCGTCGAGGCAATGTTTTTCATAAAAAGTGATAACGATCCACGAATTAGAAGCAATCGTTTGACATTCGATATAATAAGATCGCGGACAAGTTCTAGGAGCGATGTAAATGTCAGCCAATCAGCGGACTTCTTTTAATCATCCTGATTATGTTATTGCTACAGTGCGATGGCCTGTACCTGTATTTAAATACTTTAAAGTAAATGTTGGTTTTCACAGTACATAAAGTGGAATTATTTTTGCTAAAATCGTGTGGTGGCATACGGTATGTTTGTGTGTTACATAGAGAACTTTGAGATGGGTTTATTTTTAAATTTATGAATATTTAGTGTGATTTTATTTTTATATTAGGAGTGGTATTTTTAGGCTAACTACGCGCTTTGAACGAGTAAAGTATGTAATGCATAAATAATAACGCGGACAAAATTAGCCGCGCGATCAGTCGAAAAAAATTTCATTAGGGCAGGAAAGCGTTACACGGACGTGCGGTGGCCTGTTTCTGGCGAAAAAAAAAAATGCATCGAAAGGTGGTGTTAATATTAGTTTTAATTACGCTAAAACTAAAAGTAAGTCTGATTAGAAATGTGGGTTTGAAGAAGAAAAAAAAAATTCAAGGCACGGGTGTCAAACATCGTCACTTTTTGTTGGATTCAAAAAACCTACCACCAGATGTTTCACAGTTTTTTTTTTTTGTTCATAAACAACTCATAATTTATGTACTGGTACAGGCAGATTTTATTTAATATTTAACGAAAATTGAAAAAACTAGTAAATTGAAGCAAACAAACAACCTTATTAATTCGCTTTTATATCTACCAAACAAAACCGAAACATTTCGGTGTAAATAATAGATAGTTAAATTTGCCTAATTGAGGTTGATATGGTTAGCCACATCCTCTGTTGTCAAATATTGTTTATAGGTATTTGATTTCAGAAAAGAAATGTATTTTAATTGGAGTTTCAATTATATTTTAAAATCGAAATTTATGTAATTTTATTACATAAACTGGAATTACATAACAGATTAATAAAAGCTATATTCTTCATATAATAGACCTATGTCGAGTATCATCTCCATAGAAATTTGGAGTAACCAAGAACGATAACATGTTTTTTCTTGTAAATCGAGATACTGTTTCCAAATAATACAAAGTATCATTAATCACAGCTGTTGTTAATTTTATTTGTGCTTGCAAATTTCACGTTCTTATGAGTCAAGTATTCGATTAATTTGTAAACTCAATCACTGGTTTGTAAAAAATTGCAATATCGAATTTAACGCAAGAAAAAGTAATTTTGTAAAAACTAGATTAAGATTAAAAAGTTAAAGAGTTTTTAATCTTAACATTTTAACATAACCAAACACATTAGTTTCTGTATAACACGAACAAAGTGTTTAAAATTGTCTTGTGAATTTTCGTTTATTATTTCTGTACGATTGTGGTTCCATTGTAGAATTTATTTCATGTTGTAAGCGTTTTGCGAAATAGAAACCAAGGGAATGTTTCCACTTTTGGATCTTCAACACAATTGCGTAATTTTATTTCTTTTTTTTGTTTACATTATTTTCCGACGTTGTAAAAACACGTAAGTGATGAAATAAAAATGTTTTTTTTTTTTTTGGACTGGCGTCCAAATCCAGGGGATACTGGCGTAGAGGAAGGTGGCACAATGTGGACTACTTGATTAATTACCGCCGAAATAAATGTGTCAATTAAAATAAAAAAGTTTATGAAAACATAAGAAAATCAATGGGGCATAGTTTTATGTTTAGCTGATATAACTTCCATTTATTTTCTTTGCTTGGTTGCGTGCGCATCCTGCCCCTTCTCTAATTGCTTACTACTTAAGCATGTCTTATAAGGCACCGTTTTGAGAATTTGAAACTATTTGGAATGTGATTTGTATTGAAATATTTTTATTACGACGTCACCAGTTTGTAGGATGGAAAATAAATTTGGTCAGTGTTTTAATAACCTTCACGATAAAGTCGGTATAATAATTTCGGACAGTATCTATATAATAAAAAATATAAATAACCAGCAAAAAAGACATGTCGACAGATTAATACAAACGGGATCGATATTAATAAAATTAAATATATATAAAATGTGTTTTTCAGAGGACAAGTAGGGGAAGTAGCACAAATCTGGATACTTAAGCTTTAACCAAGTACATCGTTGAATAAATAAATATGTAAATTAAAATAAAAGTTAAGATAACAAAGAGTGTAAAATGGAGTAAAACAAGTAAAAATTAAATTATCCAATCCTGATTACAAAGAAGATATTTAATGCAAATTTGTTTCAGGCATGTTGTTATAAATGCGATATATGATATCTTGTATTTGAACTAATCTTTGTACCTTAAAATTAAAACGAAATGACGCATAAAATTGTATCTATGTTTCAAGGCCATTTTCGTGTGTTGTACGCGTAGCGCACGTCCAATGTGACCGTCGCCTTTGATGTAACAACGTGGATATCTCTTTTCTGTAGTAATTGAGTCTAGGATTAGAAAATAATAGCGACTTTTATTTGTGTCTATACTTGCGTAATTAGTAATTCTTATCATTTTTACAATAACATAGTGATCCGCACAACACAACACACATTTTTTGCATATAGGAAGTGCAAAGTGTTATTGTAAAGTGAAATCATCATATTAAACAATCATCAAATTATATGGGCCATTTGCACCAACTATGATTAAATTTTAATCAGCGATTTATCAGTACAAAAACCATTATTGACACAATTGTTTTCATGGCACGTAATCGTAATTTCAAATTAATTATTCTTGGTACAAACGGTCAGATAAAATTTAGATTGAGTTTTATACTAGCTGAGGTAATGAAAAACACCGAAGTAAACCATACTAGTCTTAAATATGACATAATTATGAACGGTGACCTAGAATGCTTATACATCTTAGGTCATGGTAAACTGCAAACTCTATCCTCGAACAATAAAATATCATTTTTGTGGTTTACTGATGATGTCTTAGTCTATTTATGTAAACAAAGTGATGATAACGTCGCGCATAAAATTGATAAACACTCTAATACGGCAGTGTAAGGACAGACATGAGAATAAAGTGAAGGTTCATTATTTCTTAGCGGGTGTCATAGTGGTAATATGTGGGGCACAGTTGAGCGTTTATTGCAAATTATGACATAGCAAGAACTTAATTTAATCTGTCATTAAATCAGCCTTGTTGGTTTTTGTGCAAGTTTATCACTAATTTAGCAGTAAAAGCAGGGGATAATTTTGGGTTATATAAGGGTTGTCCGGTTAAGAGTTGTAGAAAAATGACCTAAATAGGTTTGAAGGTGGTGTGGACTGAGGATAATAAGGTCTAGTGGACTGTTTGTAATATCCAGTCAAAAACATAAATCAGTCGAACATCTCTTATGTAAATGATTTCTACATACATAGGTATGTATATTACGACTAACGATAAAAGAGATTTTAAAGTAATAATAACAGTATAATATAATTATCCGTAAAACAAATGTAAGGTTATTCTGTAAACTCAACGACTCTAAATAATGGAAGGTGTACCGGGATCACGAACCGTCTATGACGGAGGCAATCTGTACAAAGGGGTTGGCTTTTTGAGGTTATCTTGTGTAAATGCACCACACAACCTTAAAAACCTTATTTCTATTTGCACGAATTGTATATAGGTGATGTTGAACTTGAAGTTACTTTTTTCGAGTAACTGATGAAATTTTCAGGTGAGATGGTTTGCGACTTAGTGGTTTGTATCCCCTAGTGCGAGAATAAATGCTACGTGGTTTAGGTGAGCGTTTATAGTCCACCGCAACCGCAAGCCAATAGTCTTCCGCCATTCGCGGTGCGCATGCCGGCGCTCTTGTTTCCGATGACGTATCGCGTCCGAAGACAAGGAAGGCGAATGAAGGACGTGCATAACGAATGGCACAAGCACATAACAGACAACAGCAAGTGTTAGGTTATGGTGAGTGACAGACCTGCAGCCGAAGAAGGTCCGGCGGCGAACCAGAGCGCGACGAGGTCGTCGACGCTGGACGTCGTCTGTCCATATCCCGTCGGTCCGTAGTAGTACGGCGGGGCGGCGAAGGCGGCAGCGTCCAGCAGTCTGGCGCGTCCGTCCGGAGGAGGCGGGGGCGGCTCCCGGCCCCTGCCCCCGTCCAGCAGCAGCTGTTGCACTTGCAGTATGTCCACGAACTCGTCGCCACCTGTTGCCGCGGGGACGGCGTCGTCGCGCTCACTCCTGCTGTCGTCGTGTTCCCTGCGCATCGTCAGAGCTAGCATCATCGTGGAGGCGCCCGGCACCGGAGCGGGCCCCCGCTGCCATGCCGCACTTCGCACCTCGAGCTCGACGGCGACGGCACTGCACTGCTCGGCCACGGACACGTGAATGAGCGCCGGCGGACATGTGTGGCTCCCGCTCCTCAACGCCAACACCGGCCGCCTCTGCGGGCCGTGACGTCACGCGCGTCGTCACGGAGCAGCCGGTGCGTGGTCCGGCCCCAGGTCACGGAGGCACCGCGGCCGGCCTCGAACCCGCGCTTCTTCCGAGACGCGACCACGCGCCTTTTGGCACACGTCCCTCTACGTCATCGCGACGAGGCGCGCTCGCGGGCGCCTCCACGAAAGGTAGCAATTCGACGCGCTCACGCTGATGTCACCGTTGACTCGTGCCGGTGCCGCATGAGGCGGACGCCTATTTTTAACGGCGACTCTGGAATATAATAGAAGCTTGCCAGCGACGGAATTCGCGCCTAGGGGAGGATGGGTGCGAACACAAACAGACGCGGATTTTTGCTTGCCAACAACTTGATGGCAAACGTTCCACCGAGACAACGTATTAGTTGGTGTTTTTTAACATCGACAGGTAAAACCAGTATCCTTATGAACATAAATAAAATCGAAAGTCAGCCCAATAGACCATTCATTTTTAAATAAACTGAGACAAATATAGGCGGCTATTATCAAAAATTTAGTTCTTAATTTTAGGCAGGGGCGGAGCTAAAGCCACAACTACCTTACTACAATACTTGGCGGACCGGTGTGAAAACTTGCAAATGCCTGAAGAGGACCCAATAAACAAACTGTTTTCTTCAATTAAATAGTATTTATTTTGTCTTTCACAGCTTTATTAAAATTTAGAAAGAAGATTAGGAAGAAACGACACATGGTACGCTGTTTTCTCCCTAGAATATGAACAAGTAGTTTCCCGTTTCCGTCGGTCTGTCGTTTGTCGTCTGTTCACGATTTTATTAGATAAATGATCTCCGAAACTACTGGACTGATCGTTATGAAATTTTAGATGTATTTTACGAATATTATGCTGATGATAAAACGATAACCAAAATTTTTCTGATCATCCCCACACAATTTGATGAAGTTCTTTGCGCAGAAAATATTATTTCAATTTTATGAAATATGTAATACACTTTATATCTATACTTATAGTTGACGAATGCGGCTTTATTTTTGCCTTTGACATTCAAAATTTTGGAAAAAAAATTATAACAACATTTTGATGACGTGATCTTAAAATTTTGCTGGATAAATTCTGTCTAAAATGTACAAAATATTATGAATGTATTCATATTTTTTAGAATTCCTTATATAAGGTTAGTCAAAGTAAAGAATGGAGCAATTTATTTCATTTTTCCCAAATTTTCGCAATGTCTAAAGTGATATATGTTACATAAAGAGTGATTAAAAAACTCTCTAGTTATTAGTTGATCGTCTTTTTGCGGAAACCTAGGTCGCAGAGAACCACCAAATCTACGCAGATTCTTTAACATCTGTCACAACTGACGTTTGAATTTCCGTGTTTTGTTTAGTTGATTGTTTATAACTCGTCCTGTAACTGGTCCTTGAATTTCACATACAATCCCTTTTTTTTATTTAATTTATTTAATAATTACAAATATGAATTTTAACACAAGTATTTTCAAAATTTTAATTTTCGAGCATGTTTCATGACCCTTAGGACCCCTAGAATACGAAAACATTAGTCTCGCGTTTCTATCTGTCTGTCTGTCTGCCGTCTGTCGTCTGCCGTATGTCCGCGTCTGTGTCGATTTTTTTTAGATAGATAATTTCCAAAACAACTCGACTGATCGTTGTGAAATTTTACATGTATTTTACGAATCTTGTGTTGATGATAAAACAATAACCAAAATTTGTCTAATCATCCCCACCACCGATGATATGACATCATTTTCAACTTTTATAATAGTAAATGTTATTTAATTTTTATAAAATAGCATACATACATACAATAAATAAAAAAAAATCAAAATTTTCTAAAAATATTTTACCATTTAACTTTGAAATTGCAAAACCGAATGTTCTGAAATCTTGCAAACGGTTTAAGTTTATCGGAAACATGGTAAATCGTTATTCAGAATTTATGCGTTTACGACACCCTAAAAACTAATGACATGATCTCAAAATTTTGCCGATTAAATTCTATCAAAAATGTGCAAAATGTGATGAGTAATTTGTCATTACATTCAATTTTTTAGAACTGCTTATATAGGGTGACTCAAAAAGATTAATCAATGTGTTAATTTATGTCATTGAATAAATAAGGAATGACTCACTCCATTTTCCCAGAAATTTGAAAATACAGTACTGTTATTATTAGTATTATACTGCACCTATCCAAATTGATATACGTGTTGTTGCAAAAATGTTGCAAAATTTTGTAAAGAAAAAACTTATTTAAAACATATGTGTTCCACGTTTCTTTACATTTACGTTACATTATATAGATATCTATCTTTGTTTTAACTTACAGGGGTTCTAAAAAAAAAAACCGCAAAATCAAATTTTGTAATTTTTTGAGAAAGCTAGATTGTACTTAAAGGGGCGAGGGAAGTTCCGTCGAAATAACCTTCAACCAATTTTTTATGTTAATGACGATTCTGGAAAAGTAATACTTGCCAGGGCCGGAGTTTACTTGTAGGGCAATATGGATGGGAACAAACGATAGATAGAACGTCGCTATTGGCTGACGTTTTTACTATCGACAGGTAAAACCAGTATTCTGCAAAACGAACATCAATGGAGCCTTGAATAAATTGACACAAATAGGCGGCTACTAGTAAAAATTTGATTGACATTATCACTGTCGACGTACGCGCCATGGCCAACTAGAGCAGAAATTTAAAAAATCACTCCGAGATTAAAACAAACTTTTAATAAGTATTAAGTTTGAAAGTTCATAAGGATCTTAAGTACATAAACTCAAATCCATAAGGTTGTAACCACTCCCTAGTGTAAATTTTAAAAAATTACTCAGTGTAAATCTGTATTTTAGTAACCTGGTGACATATTTGGTGACCTGTCAATATAATGTCAGTTCACTCATGTATTCGCGACATATGATTACGTTCGACTTCACTGCAATTCTTGCACTCCTGCACAGGTTATTTCATAATTATCATTGTAACTTGTCGCAATATTGTAAAAATTGATAAACAATTTTCAATAAAAACAGGATAACCTGAGTCTTCATGGTAATTATGATACAAGAGCAACGATAAATTGAAACGTGTTTTATCTTTCATCTGTAGAAAGAAGAATGCCACCTGCTGTAATTTAGACTTGCAGTCGATACGTTAACGAATTACGATAAAATGAACCCAAAAATATTGTGGTCACGAATGAAATCAAATATTGGGCTGGTGAAAAAACGAGGTGAATTGATTTATTTGTTGCTGCTTCATAAAAATTACTTTACAGTTGGGGAATAACTGAGATATTCAGAATTTGTTTAAATTATTGTACATGAGTATACGTGATAATTATATGTGTGGCTAACTATGATATGATATGACTCGAAGGACCAGCTCTCTCGACTGAAATGATCAATCTCGCGAGGAACACCAAAATTGTCTATAATGGGTAGATCACCTTAGTTAGTCGCAACGGATGACCAATTTTTCATCAAAAAAATGGGACACCAACAAGTCTTTAATGTTATGTTTAATAACTCTAATATTTGGTACGACTTATTATTTACAAAATGTACAAGAAATTAGGTTGAAGGCGATAGGTCTGGCAATGCTCCTCCGTCCTGAGGATTTTAGTGGTAATAATGAACAAAATGTAACTTCACAAATTTCAGAAGCTAAAATAATAGGTATGTTGAAAATAATTTGACGGCTTATTTAAACTTACTGTTACAGGAGTGGTTAGAAACATTGGCAACACATAGACCAAATAACCAAAAAGCAATTATTTTTCTGTTGTTAACTTTCTTAAATCTGAATCCCATTGATTTTAATACTCGACGTAAAGTATTTAAACTTGCTGTATATTCTGGATGTTCTTTCACAAAAATAAACAAATCCTGAAGAGTAAAAAACTCATTTTTTTTTGTTTTTGTCAAATATACGGTAGGTTAGATCTTCTTTAAATTCCAAATTTAAATACCACTGCGATTTTTGTTTTGGTTTCCACTTTGATTCTTGTAACGGTTCTCCAGATTGGTGTTGGGTTATAATTTTGTGGGCTATATCAGGAACACTATGGAAAGGATAGTAATTAATGTTAAGTTTACAGGGAAAGTATGCAGTGCTTGAATTTAATGAGAGACATTTAGTTGTATTGTGTAGGATATAAAGAGTGGGTATAAAACTTGAAAAGACAATGTTGTACTAAAAAGCGAGATATACACTTTCAACTTGAGGTAGTTAAAGTCCTTCGACAGACCACCATGTTGTAATAACATGAAAAAAGTTCCGAATGTCGATACGTTACTCTCATAGTATAGTACTCTCTTTCCATGGTATAAGAATAACTACATACTGAAAAGATTTTTACAAGCTTGAATTCAAGTTCTCGGGAGGATGCTTGGGGATAAGCAAGTTTCAATTCATTGTGGCAGTTGGCAAGTGCCATTTTCATCTGCTTATTTATCACAATATGCCGTGTTGGTACCATTTTTCAATGATATGGTTTAATAACAAACTGTGAGATATTTAAATAAAACTCTCTCGTGCGCAATTGTCAAATTTTGACACATGCGCCGTTACCAATCTGTTAATGTGAAAAACACCATTGGCTGTAATGCCAACCTTACAATTTAACGAGTGGTTACAACCTTATGGATTTAACTGTAGGTATTAAAACAAATTTAACTTCTTTTGATACTTTGTGTCTAAGGCTGTAGTTTTCCGTTTTTCTTTTTTGGAACTTTTTCCCCTGCTAGGTTCGATTAAAGATTCTTCCCAGATACTTCGCATCTTTGTATTTTGATATTTTAGTCCTCATAAAATTTAGTAATTTTATTAACGTATCTGTATAATTTTTTCAACCTTTTTTCGGAACCAGTCCTCAAACTATAAAATTTTTCAGGGTTTTTTATACATGTAATAATAATTAAAATGAAATTTTAC